TGTATTGACAAGGAAACTGAAGCTTTCAGATATTAAGTAATTTGTCTGAGATCTTGAGGTTAGAAAGTAGCAAAACCAGGATTTAAAATGTGTCCTTTCCTTTCCCTTTGTGTACTTTTTCTTTGATTCTTTTGCACCTCTATCAGCATTTTCCAGAACTGGGCATCAGCTTTTGAGTCATTGTCACATCCTCAACCCATCACCTTATTCCACATGTATAGTTAGTCATCTATGGCTGTGCAGCTCCATAGCAGGACAGGTGACCAGCACCTGAGATGGAGAACCCTCCTGGGACAGGTGGGGCCGGTTTGCTCCTGAGTGTGTGGGAACTGGAGTCGGATTTGTCTCTTCTTTCTCATTTTCTGCTCTCAAATTGGTGCCTTCAGTGGTCCAAAAAAGTATTTCCCAGCCATAGAAATGACCCCAATAATACATGAGGGCAGTTCATCAGAGTGGTTTTTCTTTTGCTCTGTAGGAGACAGAAAGAGAGAAGGAGAGAGAGAGACAGAGACAGAGAATGTGTGTGTGTGTGTGTGTGTGTGTGTGTATTTATGGGAGTGGGGCAGCAAGCTTCAAATCTGTGTTTTTGGGAGAACTAAGGAAGGTAAGGGAGGGTAATTGTCTTCTCACAGGATGGCTTTAATTCTCTTCCAGAGTAGGATGCAGAACAAGGATTTGTTATTTTTTTTTTTATTGGGCCATAGACTCCTCTAAGAATTTGATGTAACTTTGGAATCTTTCCCCAGAAAAATTATAGTGATGCTAATTAATAATTATATTAGAAGTATTATGCTAAATACATGTGCTCCCTGTTTTAATCTTCATAACCTAATGAGATACAGGTATTGTGCCTATTCAGCAGATGAGAAAACTGAGGTCTTGAGATGGTGAAAAACCTGATTGTGGATCCAGACATACAAAGTGCTGAGGTCTCTGCGTGTGATTTCAGTTATGATCTTTAGTTATTACTCTCTTCTGCTTGCTTCTTTTGAAGAAGAGGCTGGGTTGTTTTCAACTCATGTTTTCTGCATCCCCCCTACTGCCTCTCGTGTCCCTCAGTGGGTGATGATGAAGTAGTGAACTCATTTACATCCGTGCAGCCTTCTCTACAGGCCAAGAGCTTTCGTTCTAGAGGATTAGCCAGGATGAAAGACAGAAACCGGTATGTATAGCAAGAGAGTGACAGGGTCTGAATCCCTGTGGCCTTGACCAACCCCTTAGGAAGGTTGTGGATGAAGGCAAGGTAGCTCTTGGTCCCTCTTTTCAGCGCCCTTCCCCATCCTCTTGTCCAGTTTGGTGCATTTGTGTGGCAGATTCTTAGCGCCCATGCTTTGCAGTGATCTAATTGCTGTTTAATGTTAGGTGGGGTCAGACCGTTTGGGCTTCTCTCTTAATTCTGCCACTGCTGAGCTGTGTGACTGGAGTCAGCTGGACTCTGTGAGTCTGTCTACTTGTCTGCAAATGAGGGAGAATGAAGGACAGTTTTCATTAGGATGAGGCAGAATTCACTGTCCCTTCTGTGTCTTCAGTTTGACCTATAGACAAATGGCCTTCTTGAAGTGCATTCTACACACAATTCTTTTAAGATTAAAAGGCTCAAGCCAGAGATATAGCTCAGCAGCACAGTGCCTCTGTGGCAAGCGTGAGGTCATGTGTTTGAATCTTGGTATTGATGACAACAACAGCAACAGATTAAGGAGCCCAGAAACTCACCTGTGGTCAATGCCTGTGTGATAACTGCGGCTCAGAGTTATAGTGAATGTTTTCTTAGAGCTATCAGTGCAGTAGTAATTTAGATTTTGGAATAGTTTGTATTCTTTCTTCTTTAGTTTTTCTCCCTACTTGCCCACGATCCCCCAAGCAGACATATTTAAAAATCATACAATGGTGGCATTTCAGTGCTAGGAAAGAACTCACATCACCTAGAGCCAGCCCTCTAACTTGGCAAAATGGGAACAGGCTCAGAGGTATAGAAAACTGCACCAGCTGCCAGGTGAGCCATAGCTGGGCTGGAAAGTTGCTTAGTGTTCCCTCTGCTGTGCCCCTTTGCTGCTCTTTGTCTCTGTCTGAGCCTCCTTCCCAATCAGAGATGGCTCATAGTCACTTTTTCCCTTGTTCGGTTCTTATCCCCTCTACTTGCTTTCCTGAAAGAAGGGGCTGGGTCATTTTTCATCTTAGTTTCCTCTCCTAATACCCTTCAGTGAGTAATGAACAGAGGAACAAACCCATTTGTGTCAGGAGAGCCACCTCCAAAAGGCTTCATGGTGCTAAGCCACAGTTTCCAACACTCAGCTCACTGTTAACCTTTCAGAGCACCAGGGTAGGAAATAGTCCTCTCCATATACTTCTTCATTCCAAATAGGGTGCAGGCAGGTAGTGTGTTACGGGAGGCTTTGAGAAGCCAAGGTGCTATGGTTTATTAATGGCAATGCTGGGCTTCTCTCTTCAGCAGAGATCTAATCTAGATGTAAAGAGCACCTTTCTGAGGTTGGACACAGCTGGCCCGAATGTGACATTTAGCAGGACTAAGCACTGGCTCGCGATTCTCACCCTTACATGTGCCACCGTGAGTGTTCACGGACCTTTCCCTGCTGAGAAGAATTCCATTGTCTGTTACTCAGCTGTCCTGGTAACTCTGCCTTCTAAGGAGAATTTTCCCTTGGTTAGCTCTGTTTAGGGAGTCAGGCTAATGACTAGAGACTGAATTTGAAGGACTCGGGGGTAGGGATGGTCTCTCTCTCTCTCTTTGTGTGTGTGTGTATCTTCAGTAGCTGAACTTACATCTGAAAAGGCTTATGGCAGAGAAGAATAAATGGGCTAAAAAAAGGAAAGGGAAAAGTGTTTATGGGCTGGGGGTTGGGGTCATGTTTATGGGCTGAGGGCTTGGAGAAAGAGTTAATGAGTGTGGGCTACCAGATAGTAGAGGAGGAGGAAAGACTTTTAATGGTGCTTTCCTATGCATCAAGAGTTTAGCTCTTGACATACAGTAACAGATTCAGTAATACTTTGCAGTAATTTTTGTTAGGTTTGGGCTAGCTTTCTTGCTTTGGTGTCTGCCATGTGGAGACTTGCTACCTGGAGACCTGGGTGCGTTCTTGTTCTCCCACACATTCGGTCTGGTGGCAGCGGCTAATGTTGGGCAAGAGCGTGTGAGAAGCAGACCCTGGAATGCAAGTGATTTGGGGAGATGCTGCATGTGGGCATCCAGAGCTGATGTCCTAGAGTCAGCATGGAGATAACATCTCTGCCTCCTGAACAAACCCCAGGTTGCTTTCCTGACTTAAACATACAAAAATGTCAGAGTTCTTAGATTGGGCCATGGAGGGAATTTATTTTCACAAATAATTTGAATCAGTGTGGATTTAGTGGAGGAATGTGGAAATTCCTTCAGCTTGTATTTTTTCCCCATTATTAGAAAAGAAACTTGCTCTAAGAAGGAAGAAGAAATAGAGTTTCTAGACCACATGTCAATGACAGAAACAGTCTTGAGGAAGGATACTTTTATTTTTTTTCTCCAAGCAATTGCTCTTTTGTACTGGTTTTAAGTGGAGGTTGTTTAGCACACAGAGGGTTTTCTGGCCAAGGGAAAGAGCAGTGACTCTCTGGCTTAGATAAAGAATGTTTTCTTTTGCCTGCCTGCCTCCTGGGGCCCAGGTGACCTGTGCATGCTGCCTGTTCAAATTTGTGTTCCTGCAGTGACTCTTCAAGAGGTCAAAGGCCTAGAATAAACAGGTTGTAGGGTTTTGCAGGTCTATGCAGAGCTCCTTTCTGTTGAGTCATGGAAGAGCAAGACTAGCATTTCTGCAGAATGGCGGCATCTTGAAAGTTCAGGCAAGACTTGGTGCCGCTGGGTCCTAGGCAAAGACAGAAAGAGGATCTGCACTGGGGCTTCTTGTGTATTACTTAAAGTGCTAAGTAAGCAGCATTCTTTTTAGCCTGATTGCAGAGCCATTGGGCACTTTGAAAAATTTCCATCTATTCTTTTTGTTCCCCAAGTGCTAGGGATAGAAAACACAGGGCCTCACCCATGCTAGGCAAATAAATGCTCTACCACTGAGCCGTATCCTCAGGCTTTGCGTTCATAGTTTTTGACTACCTTACAAGGAGAAGAAGTGTCAGCTGGCTTTTAATGTCTGAAAAATGTCCTAGGCAGGTAGTCATTCCTACCCAGGTTTAAAAGATTCCAAGAAATTATCCTTCTGTTGGAGGAAGACCTGTAATCAATCCTATCTCCTCCATGGCCCATACATCTCTTGTTCAGGCTGGCCTGACCTGGCTGGAGAAACCTGAGGCAATCTTGATGATGCTGGTCAGAAGTCTTTAGCTGCGCTAGTCTTTGTATTTTTTTTTTTCATTATAAAGGTATTTTTATTGGATACATATTAGGTAGCATATTAAGACCAACCAAGTCCCACTCTTAGAACATAAGACAATAAATAAAAATACAAATGGAATGAACATAAAACTAAGTATTTACATTCATATTTCACATATAGTTATTAAACTAATCTTTTAGTCTTTACTTCTTTGAAACTGTAGTTGATACACCATGTAAGTATTAGTTCAAACCTTATAAAATAATTTTCCTGGTGCTATATATTTGTGGGAAGAAGAAAATTTCAATATATGTCTAGGTGGACATGATTTAACAGTGACATTTTTATATTATAAAGACTATTGCTTACAGTGCTAAACTACAGTGACATTAAATATATAGATCCTACCCAAACTCTTATTAGTTTATAAACTATCAAATGAAGATACAAAATTGAATTTTAACACTGTCAATCAAGCTGCAAAAAAACAAAAGGAAAAAACTCAGATTAAAGTTTTGAGTATCCACTAACTTTGGCATCATTTTTTTCTTACACTTCAAGAAGTATCTCAGAGCCCAACAGTCTGACTAACATGAGTATGGGGAAAAAGCAAGCTAAACCTAGTAAAATACTTAAGGGAGGAGCTCTACACAGCACAATTTTTTACTTTCTTTTGTTTGATGCTAGGCATTGAATGCAGGATTTCAGGTATACTAAGCATGCACTCTTTTTGAGCTTTATTCCCTGTCCCAAGTTCTAGTTTTTTTGTTTTGTTTTGTTCTGTTTTTGATACAGGGTCTCACTAAGTAGTTTTGGTTAGCCTTGAACTCTTGATCTTCCTGCCTCACCTGTATGAGTGTTAGGATTACAGGCATGCTCCATCATGCCTAGCTCTCAGTCCTCTATTTTGACTTTCACATTAATCAAGGCAAAAAAGGAATTGTTGGAATTCTGTTTAAAAGCAGGGAAGTATACCAAAATTTTTTGAAACATGTCCATGTAATATAAGTTTTACCTAAGTTCAAGTGAACTGTGAACCTCACAAACACCCCAGGAATAGTAAGAACCTTCCTGTCTCTGGAACTTCATTTCTCCTCTGAAGTATCAGTCTCAGAGTACATAGGGCACAGAGCTACGTTTGGGCGACATACAAAAGCATCAGTTCCACCTCCTAACTCTGACAACTGTTCCAGTGAAGACACACAAGGGTAATGGTCTTTTAACATGTCTGGCAATTTAGAAGTCTTCTCTTGAAGGCGTCGAGAACGTCTCACTGGTGTTAGAAACTTTAGCTCTTTAAGTGCAGGATTTGTTTCATCAAATTGCATCTTCTTTTTTATGCTCTGCAAGTATGGTGTAGTAGATGTGTTATATTTAATTAAGCAACCTGATCTATTTTCTGCATCAGGGGTTTTAAAATTGTCACTTGGATTTTTGTGTCATCTTGCTGTTGTTCACAACCTTCAAACACCACATTTCTACTATGTTTATTCTCCATTTCTTGTTTTCCTGGCTCTAGATTAACACCTGTATCCTCAGTGTTGACTTCCTGGATTTGTTCCTTGGTTTTACAAGCATCTTCAATATTTTTTTCACAGTTACTTTTTTCTTGGTTCTTCATTGTTATAATATCCACAATTGTCTGTCGCATCTCTTCAATTGGCTGAGCTCCTGCAAGAACGGCCTTCTCATAGATTGAGATAATGTTTTCAACAGGACTTGTGATTGATTCAATACGTATAAGACATATCCAATATTTAACAAGATTTTTTAGCATCTGGAATATTTTTAATCACGTCATTCAGTGTGGTCATTATTTCTTCTTTGGGGTATCCCTCATGAATGAGGTTCAGGCATTCAGAAAATATCTTGTTCACTTTGTCAGTAAATTAATCTTTGCTCATCCTCTTCTGCCATAGTAGTCCAGAATGATCCAGCGGGGTTTGCATTTTGTCCCTCAGGCTCGGGCTGGGCAGAGACTGGGTTCGGAGGCCTCTTCAGCACTCTTCCTTTGCCAGCTCTGCACTCATTCAGATGAGCTTTTCTTTCTTCTGCAGTTTCTTTGAGCTGAGCTGATCCATCCACAGTGGCTTTTGCTAACGTATGTCTTCGGTGGTCAACAGTTTTTGACTTTTCTGTCAGTTTGATATTAGTAAATGAAATAGGCCTGGCTATATTTTCAGATGTGTTTTGGGATAATGTCTTACTTCTTTTTTACGTCCTGAGAAGAGGTTTTGACCACAGGTAGAACTGTTTTTGATTGTAAGGCCTTATTTTTTGTGCCCTGAGAAGAACTGGATTTGACACTACCTAGAACTGTTTCTGATTGTAATTGTTCTTTTTCAGTGGGATTCTTTGGGACTGTAACATTGGCAGAGGTTCTGCTAATGTCTTGTTTGGGCTTGTGCTGGGTGTTACTGTGGTGATTTCTATTGGGAGGCCGTACAAGCTGTGTGTTCTGAGATGTAAGGTTCTCAAGTGTGGTGGCGGCAGTCATATTTGAGGCTTTATAACTTTTTGTTGCATTGCTTGTCTTTACAGAGTTAGGCTTTGTGCCTTTAGAAACAGAAGCACAAAGTTTCTTTGTTGTTGCAGAACTCTCGTCTTTGACTTGTAGAGGTTTTGTGAATGAATTAACCTTAGACTAAATGATTTGGCCATGATAATATCCTAGCACAGGTTTCTTGAACACGCTAGCATTTTGCTTTGGTTTTTCTGCAATCATTTGCTTTTTTTTATGATTTTTTTTAAGATGAAATGCCTGGCTTAGTGTCATAGTTTGATTTTGAGAATCATTGTTAACTGGTAACAACTGTAAAGTTTGATCATCAGCCTCAAGATTATGTGTTTCAATTGCTGGAGAATTGGTTAATTCATTAGAAGCTTTTAAGGGAATATAATTCTTTTCCATTGTTGTATTAATGTTTTCTGTATGTCTTCTGATATTTTCTTTATCAGCCATTTTTGTTTTAAGTTTCAGAGGTTCTGTCCTTTCTTGGACCTGGTGCTCAGATGTCATCATTCTATTGCACTAGTCTTTGTAATAGTGGCTTCCAGAAAACAGCCATTGCGTTGCTCCAAGACAATGGCAAGTAATGCCAATGCCTAGATTCACACCCAAGGGCCAGTGTCAGATTCTGGGGTGTGGGGGGAGTAGTTAGGTTGCTCAGGTGATTCCTGTGTCCCCTGCAGATGAAGAACCACTGGGCCATTCACTGCCACTGTGCAGAGCTATGGGGGAGGTGCTAATAAATTTGATGTGAAGAAGTCCTGGTTTTAAGTATTTTGTCCTTAAGAAAGTTAGGAAGGGAGAGGGGTAGACATGCACAGATATTGAGTACCAGCTATGAGAAAATGCATGGTAGGTGCTTCCAGCTACATTTTTTTTTTTATTTGCTCTGGCCTGTAGTCCAGAGTGCAGGGTGTTTTCATTCTCAAGCAGTGGGGAGAAAAATGAACATCAGAGAGGTCAGTGACTTGCTTAGCATGACAGAGCAGCTGGAGATGAGCTTGGCCGACATCCTTGCATTCTCCATTAGGACTGTAACCACCACACTAAAATGATGAGTGTCTTGAGAGCCTGCTGTTCTTCAGAAATATGATACAATGTATATATTTTAATTTAATATGCAATTTAAGATTTTCTAGTAAGCATGTTTAAAGAGTATAAGGAAACAGGTAAAATTAATTTCAACCATGTTTTCAGTAACCTAATTGTAAAAATTATTTTACTATAGAATATAAAAATCTTAGTGAGACAGCTTATGTTTTTTAATACAAATTCTTCAAAATCCAACATGTACAGTTATTCATCTGGCAGATCTCAAGTCACACTAGGTATGTTACATGGCTCCATGGCCATGTAAGCTGGGGTCCACCCTAAAGAACTATGCTGTTCTGACATGTCTTGGCTTGAGAGGTGTGTCTTACCTGACTGCCCAGGTAGTGAGGGCTCACAGGTTTTCAGATCATGAGTGAAAATGCCTCAGGATGGATCAGTGTCAGGTAGTCTACATGGGAGTCATCTACAGACAAGGATGTTAAAGTTCTTCTATCAGGTTAGAGTCCCAGGTGATCCTTTTGTATAGCCCCAGTGGAAACAGCTGCACTACAGACATTCTCTGCACAGTTTACTTGGACTCTCTGTGCCTGTGCCTCACCCCCTTTCAGAGACTGGTGAATTCTGAGCACTTGGGCTTGGGGATGGTGGGTGATGGTGGTGTGGTAGAAAAGGTAGTGGAATGCATGCCGCAAGGGTCATTTCCTTCCCTTGCTAAATGGAGCTGTAGTTTTTTTGGAGAAAAGAAATCCTGCTTATTCATCTGGATGTGATCATGGGTCAGGGGTGGAACTTTCCATTTTGGTGGCTAAGAAAATGATCCTATCTTGGGAAGGGCAAGATCAGGAAATAAAATATTTTGGGCAGAATAGGATACTGTGTACTCAAGTTGTGTCCCCGTGCCTCAGTGGTTTGGTTTTAAATTTGTTTGCAGACTTACAGCAAGAGTTTGGTTCTAAGGAATTATAGCCTAGGGGTTTCAAGCCTCACATGTCTCAGAGGTCAGATAGGCAGCATGAAAGAAAGGGCAAAGACTTTGATCAGTCCAGCAGTATGTTCTTTTTCACAAAGAATGTTGCACTCTCCCTTCTTTGTGGATATTTAAGGTACTTTTGGTCCTTTTTCCTGTTGTAGCTAGAGAAATATTTCTCTTCTCTAAAAGAAGAACCAGTACATATAACCATAATAAATGGCAGATGACGCCAGGCCTTGCTGGCGCTGGGGAGATGAATCTGAGCAGTATGATAATTGTCTAGAGGGAGTAGCCTCTCCCCAGCTCTGTCCAGTTATTATTCTGGAGGCCCAGTGTTGCTATTTCTAAGAAGCCGTCTTTTAAAATTATAACATCTTTGATTTGGTAATAAAAAATCCTTAGAAATAATTAGAAATTCACAGGGCACTGCAAAAAAGAGAAAGAACAGGAAAGAAAAAAAAAAATACAAGTACGGAGCGGTCTTGTGTGCCCTTTGCCTTGCTCCCCAGGGATAGTTCTTTAGTGACTGTAGTACAGCACCAAAGCCAGGTGATTTCCAGGTATAGTGGCACATGCCAAATCCCAGCAACTCAGGATGCTGTGGCAGGAGGGTTAGAAATTCGAGTCCAACCTGTGCAATTTAGAGTTTAGTGAGATCTTGTCTCAAAATAAAAAGGACAGGGGATGTGGTGCAAAGGCTCTGGTTCAGTCCCCAGTATCTTAACAAGTAAACAAATAAACACAAACAACCAAAACAAAACCATAACTCAAAACTTGACATTACTGCAATGTACATTCCTTTCTCAGATTTTACATGTAATTATTTATGTATGTGGGTACATGTGTATCGCTGTGCAATTTTAGCACATATACATTTGTGTAATCTCTACAATGATCAAGAAAATATTTGGCTTTTAAATCATTTGGGCAAATATGTTGAATCTTTTTTAAAGTCTAAAGGACATGCTTTTGGATGGGTACAGCCTAATAATCTTCTAGTTTTCAACCTCTAATCTTTTTTATTTGGACAAAACTCACATAATGCAAAATTCACTGTTTTTCTATTTTCAAGTATGCAATCCTGTATTTTCTAGTGTGTTCACAAATTTGTGTAAGCATTACCACTACCTAATTCCAGAACATTTTTATCCCTCTAGAAAGAATACCCATATCTATTATCATTCATTCCCCTAGCCTTTCTCCCCTTATTCTCCAGAAGTCACTAATCTGCCATCTCTCTCTGCATGTTTGTCTGTTCTGGACATTTCATATAAATAGGATATACCCTTTTGTGACTGACTAGCCCTTTCATCCTACAGGGGAAGAGACTTGGGCCAGAGAAGGAAAGTGACAAGCTTGTGGTTACACAGCTAAGGTTGAGTCTGCACTTGAACTGGAACTAATATTCTTTGTGCCTCAGGTCTCTGCTTGTCACTATTCAGCTCTCCAGTCTAATGGTGATGATGATGATGATGTTAAACTGCTCCCAGCTATTCTTTTTATTTGGCTTTTAACATGATTAGCAACAGAGTTTTAAAAAAAATTTTTTTTGTTAGTTTTTTGAGACAGAGTTTCACTATACAGATCAGGCTGGTCCTGAACTCACTACAAACTACCTATCTCATCATCCTTGTCACTTTCTGAAGCAGTTATAGAAGTCCTCTTTTGTGAGCATTTTTATGAAATGTGATAAAAAAGTTCAATACTATTGTCATGTGCCATCCGGTGGAAAGGCAGGCTCCTAAAGACATTGTAATGTGTCCTCATCCACTTATTCACTGCCTCTGGCACCGTGATACTTCTCACTTTTCTGCAAAGTCAAATAACGAAAGATAAAAATTTTTAATCAGTTTAGGATATTGAGGTAGCCATAACAGTGCAACTGGACACTCATGCAGCAGGACTTCCAGATGATAGAATAAGCATGTTCAAAGAAAGGGGAAGTGTTATGAAGGAGATTAATGGCAGTATATTTTTCATTGTGATAATTTCTAAAAACATCTAAATACTCCCCATATTTTTAAGTCATACCTTATCCAGTAGTAGAAGCAGCAGGTAGCAACAGAGTTGAGAAGAATCAAAGCAAGAGACACAGGAGACCCATCTCAGTGCCTATGAAGAGACCATGGTACAGAGGGTCTCTGGAGAGCTTTGAGCCCTGTCCCTCTGCCTGCTTCCACCTGTTTTGTCCACCCCTACCACCATTTTGCAACTCATCATCTATTCATGAAGTACTTGCTGTGAGTCAGAAACTGTTATGGTGCTGGGTTACAGCAATAAACAGGTCAAACAATGTTCCTGTTCCTCGGGAGGGGAATATGGGTACGTATGATAATAATGGATTATAATAAATCCTAGCAGGAAAGTGGCTTTTGCTGGTGGGCATGAGGTTGGGTAGTCAGGACTGGCCTCAGCCAAGAGATGATGTTTTGTTGGAGCTTTCAGGATTGAGACTACCCCAGCATAGATAGGTAAGAGATAGGCAAAGAACCTTTTCTGTAGGAAGGACAAACAGTAAATGTAAAGTTTTAGGGGGAACAAGTCTCTGACTGTCTGCAGGATAAGTTTTAGGGGGAACAAGTCTCTGACTGTCTGCAGGATATGTCCTGAACTCTGCAGGAACATGTTCTTAGGGGCCCTGAATCAGATAGAATAGGTATCTGCAGACCTGGCCCTTCACTGCCTTAGGATAGGAGAGTGAAGAGGAAAGCACTGACTTGGGGAGGAAGAATGCATATCCTACTGCAAGGACAAGTATGAAGTCACTGTGACTCATTTAAAGTAGGCGTGCTTTTACTTTTTTAAAGGGAGCTAAAGTCATTTTGGGATTTTCAACTAATTTTGTTGTACTTTATGAGCTTTATGTCATTCAGAGAACTTGGAAACATTCACTGTCCCTCCTAATGAATCTATAGAGTAGGTGGGAAAACTTTAAAAAGCTCCCAAAGATCCACTTTCCACTGCCTGTGAGTGTGCTATGAGGAGGGCTGGGCACTGAGACTAGAGGCCACAGGTATCTGGGAAGTGGGAGCCACTCCAGCATGCAGCATTGTGTAAGCTTCAGTCGGGTTGAAGTCCTGTGGATGTTGGCTGTGGTTACAGCCCCAGCGACTTTGTTCTGGGAAAAAAGGAAGTTCTTTTCAGTGTCATTTTGCTTACTTTTTTTTTTTTAATTTAAAGAGAAAGAAACAAAAAAAATGGAGAAAAAAAGGATAGAAATAATACAGAATTACAGAAAAATAAACAGTAAGAAATCACTAGTTGATAAGTTCCATATTGTCATCTTAGAAATAGTTGTTCAGGTTACAAAATTAAAGTATGTAAAGTGACATTCAATAGTGACACTGCCAACAGTTCTGCTCAATGATCCAACAAAAACTTAGTAATATGGTTATCAGTCCTACACACTTGTTTTTTATCTTAAAAAGGATAAGATTACACATATCAAAACAGAACAAAACAGTTCAAAAAGAAATAATTTAAAGAAATA